AGGCATTCGTTATTAGCAAAGAGGAAAATGTACACTTCACTTTGAGAATGTGATTGGATGGATAAATAACTGAATATATTCATGCCATATGGCTGCAAACGAATTCACACATTAGATGTGTAATAAAGCATCTAATCTTGTACGTCATTAACAAAAAAGAGCATATGAATATCCGGATTGAATCTTGCTTTAGAATTTATCCTGTTTATCAATCTGATCAATAACTTTGCATATTGTTTCTGATTGAGTGAACATGGCTCTTTACGAGAACTTTGTGAAATATGCAGCCTTGAATTGAATGCAAAGAAATGTATTCCGTCGCCTTTAGTAATTTTTGGAAGCACGTGCATATCAGTCGCTTGAAGTTGTTTGGAACGATGTGTGTCTCAGCTCACATCTCCCGATCTGCTGAAGTATGTCCCACTTTAAGCTCAACGAATAAGAATCTCGCTAGCTTCTATTTGTAACCTTCGAAGTAATGGTGTTGTGAACATTTTGGGTAGTGCGTGCACTTAGAGCTGCTTAAAGTACCAATCTATTTAATTCGAGAAATCACCAGTCTATTTCTTGGACACGTCGCTTTGGCATCTCGAAATTAAAATTCAATTTGGAAGGGATCAAGTAAAGGAAAATTCAAGGTTTCAAAAATATTTCAAATCAGCTGACTCATTTATATTTGATTGCCACGAACATACGTTCTGTAACNGCAATGTGAAATCATTATGACTGCATTCAAACTAGTGATGGCATGTGAGCAAAATTCGGTGGGAATCTATCTGGCCGATATGGCTTTTCACCATTCCGACAGTCGGAATTCCGACCGAAATTGCCGGATTTTTTCGACCGACCATCAGTCGGATGCCATCACTGATTCAACCATGAAGCGACCTAATTTTTGGTTCTTTTCATATACACGCAACTCACATTGAAAAGGGAGAATGGTGAAATTTAATATTGATATTTAAATTCGGTGTTATAAAGCACTTCTAATGAAACGTAAAAATTTTGTTTGTTTTTTCATGCAAAGACGAAAGCAATGAACAAGATGTGGTGTAAAATGGAAGAATCATTACTTGATAATTAGCATTTTCATTGTATTTGCTTTCAGCCGCATGAATTAGCGTCTTTGCTGGATGAACCCGTGCAAATATGTCATCGCAGTTTATCATGTGGATTTGAATTGCTTGAGTGACGAACAATGATACGTCTAATTTTGATATATTTGTTTCAATAAAGGATTAATATATCCTTCGAATGCATTCAAAAGTGATCATTTCAAGAGCTTTCGGTTCGTCGAATGATGTGCTCCTCATTCCTTTGAAGATTCTCTTCGAATCACGCTCTCCTATCCGAATCATTCCAATTCATTTATGCACGTCCCAACCAACACACCGTCGTACTTCATATTCAGCCCGATTATGAAGTCTGCTTTCGTTTTCTTGCAATAAGCTAGCTGGAAATTCAGAAGATGACATTTAAGGGTCTGCTTTGCATAATTCATCAGCTTGATATCTCGAAATTTCACTAAATATCACACAATCACAAATAAAACCTATTTATAAAGTACTATCTTTCTAAGCGTTAATGTCATCACCCTCCTCGACATTTTGATGATATATCTATCATGAGTACATTTGACTGACGATATTTGACATCGAATGAAACAATTGACACAACAATCGTAGAAGAAATACCAAAATTTGCTAATCAGCCATCATTCATTCATTTTTGACTTAAACCTTATAATCAAACCAGTATTTAAACGCTCCATCATAGCAAAATACAACTATTGGATATTCCTCATTAATTGGATATTTTACTGAATCTTCAATATCATCACGCTCGCAATACTACAAATGTATTCAGAGATGAGGTGAATTCATTGAATTTGTCCATGTAATAGCTATCAGCTCGTTAGAGAGCACTTCATCAAGTGGACGTTCAAATAATTTTGTTGCTATAGAGTAATCACTTGCCTATTTACTTACCAAAACAAAACAACTGATTTTCGGTCACTCTTTTTCCGGTAGGCTTAGGATAGATATCACTTGAGCATATTTCACTACGCTGCAGTCATCTCCCTTATTAGCTCTTAGCAATGAGTTTTTCCTAAAATCTCTGTGGCTCGTTTCACTGAATTAATCGACAATCTCTGCTGCATGCTTTTCTGCAGAATTTTCATCTCATTTTGAGCAAATACTGATCGGAAATTCGTTTGAGATTCGTCACTTGTGTCACATGCAAACATAATTTATTGATACCGTATGTATGCTTCTAGTCCATATAAACTTACATCTGCTGTATGATCATGCAAGTCTTCAGCTTGCTTTTCGTTGAATCTGGAATCCATTGGAACACAATTAAATTCGTTGAATCTAATTGTGTCTTAGGTATGTTTCTATATTCATGAAAATTATTCCTCCAATGCTGAAATATTTCAATTTGCCCTAATGTGGTCTGAAAAAACAACCTTTTAATTTCATTATTCTTGAGCATTTTTTGCATCCGGCGTCACTTTCCGCTTAAATCAATGAGTTGAAAAAAGATATAAAAGGGGTTTGTAGAAGAGAAAAGTGGGCTAAACGAAAGATTTTACAAGCTAATAGACTGACCGTGTACTAGCTGACAAAAGAATGGAATAGAGCGTCCCTAAGGTATCCAATACACTCAAATATGAGAACTAATTGAACAATAATTCCAGTGATTCCATTAAGTCAATAGACTTAACAAAAATAGCAACCAGGCTGACTCTTGTTATAGACGTTTGGAAGAATAAAATGGGTCATTTCAAATTACTTTTCTTCTTTTTGTGCTGCTATTATTATATTGGCATCCGCTGACAAGGGTAGGCATAACCAAAGCGTGGTGATTCTGACGGAGGCTTGCAATTAATTGAAGGTTTTTGTGCAAGCTGCTTAAGGAGATATTTTTACTTTCTGTCAAACGCTCTTCTGATGCAAGCGAATGAGCCTGAGCCAAAGCTAATATTGCTTGCTTTAATAAAGTCCTGCCGTGAGTATTACTGCGCACGGTCATCGTGACTAACTGCCTAAAACCTCGAATTATATGTGAAGTAATGATGGTTGGAGTCCCTGTAGCGTTGGCGGCTTTCGCTTTTTATAATTTTACCTTCACTTAACAACATAACTTTAAAATTTTCGAATCGTTTACCCAGAAAATCATTATTTTCGGACTGTTTAATTTTTTAATTTGATTTTTCAATGAAAAATCCCCATATCATTCAGCAGCTACAAATAATAAATACCATAGGAATCACGCACAAAAAGTTTTCATCCGTGAATCAGTCACCGAAACTCTAGTAATTTGTCGGAAATTAACTCGATATTCTGTCAGATATTTAGCGAAATGAATGCAAAAAAAANAAAAAAAACAGACGAAACCATAATTCCAGCGCTAAAACCACTTGAAACATCGCGGTTCAATGGTAATCCGACGCTTCGCCGATGGAGCCACAACTTCAACGCACATCTGATTTGTTGCTGGTTCTTTATTAGGATACTTGATTAGTTTATGCTCATTTATGCCCTTCGTGAGGGAATGTGTTTGGCAGGAAATAAAACTCAATTCATAATCAGTAATAAGTGTCACACAATCTCGCATAGATCCCGATCAGAATCTCAGAGCTCTATGCCAGGAACTCGGAGTCCACTCATATGATCTTGAGGCAAACTCAGATCAAACGAGCAGTTCAATGTGCAATGAATTTGGTTGGTTGTCTTTTCAAGCTGTGTCGTTCCATTTGAAATGAACGAAACTAAGCTTTCGAAATGCTTTTAGCAAGAATGTTGATTGATTGTTAATGACGATCATTAAACTCAGCATCTTCGATGCATCTCTAATTGCGTTCTCTTCATAACTTACATATTTCAGCCGTTTTGGTCACGATATACGCAACGAATGCTCACGTCAAGATCTCGTTTATCGCAAAATTTTAGAAAACCCATTAAAAACTCTGTTAAATTACGGCAGAACGCTGCGATAAACCTCATGAGCGTAGGATTTCATTTTAGAAGAACTGATACGGTGATTTCTTGCATGTCAGTGCTTGAAAGCACGAGCTCATTATTATTCATAATTCAGCACTGCTTTTTCACTCAATGAATTCGAAAACGATCAATTCGTGAATTTGTTCGCAACTCATTAAAAGCCGACGAAGTTATGAGTCTTTCACGAACGACTTTTACTCCTTTTTAACCTTGAAAATGGAGTAGTAATGAAGTAGTGAGGAAGCAATTTNAACAGATTATTGGGAATTTTCAGCAAGAACGAGCAGTGTGAGTTGACGTATGCAAATGGGGCTGTTGTCAAATGGGTAGGAAAAATATTCATGAATATCAAATGGTATCACTGAACTTTGTGCGTTTATATACCTTTTTTCAATGGTCCTTTCGCACAGCTTCTGGAACAGTGTCACAGAAACATCCAACTCCTGGAGTTTTTGAATTTGCTTAACTTTGTTTTAGGAGCAACTGTTTCATTGCTCTAACTCGGTCCACATTACCACACAAATAATTTAAGCTTCTCATTTTCTATTTCAAATTACAGGTGCAATAAATGTACGTGCGACGTTCTGCTATCCAAATTCACTCGCTATCCTTTCTCATTCTTACAGCATCAGTTTGCAACGAGATGATCATGACGATTTGCAAAAAATAACTACGTGCTGTGGCTAATGCTTTGTTTTTTGTTTTGAAAAGGCCGATAAAAAATGACTCGTTGTTTTTACGCATCGAGTAGGTGGCTGGTGAGCTGCAAACTGAAGTGAACGAGCGCATGAATCGGAAAGATTCGTAGCGCTGATCGAGTCAGATAATGATTGAATGACTGCGGGATGATGTCATGTTGCGTGAGTGTATTATCGTAATGTATGTGAAAATTGTGAACACAGTACAGATATTCATATAAATAATCAAACTGATCACTGCATGAAATCAGTTTTGCTGCAATAGTTCATGAAAATTTTACGCCAATGCAAAGTTGTGTGTCAATTTAATCGGTCAGTAATGCAATTTAGCAACAATGAAATATGTTTCACGTTTTTCGTTCTTCACTTCACTTATTCGTTTCACATAGCCGTTTACCGTTCAAATTCGATTCACGAAGTTACGTGTTTTGACGCATTTCATGACAGATTAACGATGGAATTGTTGAAATTCGATNGAAGAGTTCAAAATTAAAATGAAAAGCAGTTTTTAGTGTCGAAATGTATTTTGAAGCAAACAATCAGTTGTAATGAGTCGTTTTCATGAGACTTCATAGCAATTTCCCAGAAGGAATTTTCCTATGGAGACAAAGCACATTCTCGTGTTAATCGTATTGAGGAAGATATTCACGGTCAGAGAAAAATCGTGAGAATAATCACTAACGCATTATGTTGTTATATATCGAGTCATTAGTAATTAAAACGGGATATATATTGAACATTGATCGCGGAATGTAGTGAAGAAATATATTCATGCAGACAATCAACTATCCTGAATATCCGCCATTCGAATGTCTTATTTCATTCTAATTTTATTTTTTACGAGTTATAACGTCGAAACAGTGTATTTATGATGCCCTAACAAAAATGAATTTATCCGTTCGTTGCATTGAAGATATCTGTCAAATTCAAAAGGATGAGATTAGGTCTGATTGGCATATTCGCATTGCTGTCAGCATGTTGTATTGAAGCTTCACCATCATGGTATTTCACAAATTTCCCGGAAGAAGATAATCATTCCCTTGGCAAAAAATCATACGTGAGTCATTCGAGAACCTTTATTTTAACACTATTCGAAATTGTGTAGCGCTTCATATTTTCAATCTTTTCGCTTGAAGTAGCATCTCATTTCGCCGATTTGCCAGATTACAAGATCCCTCAAAAAATTTCAGTCAACTATAAAACCACGAGGTGCAAGTATGATCTCTGGTCGTGGTTTTGGGCCAGGTTTCTTTGATCCATCCATAAGTTATTTCATGACAAAGCGGGCGTCCGGAGCGGTGAGTGAATATTGTTTTTGATTACTTATTTTTAGTTGAGATGCAAATAATTAGCATTTGTCTGAGGAATTGTGAATATGTGCTTATATAGCATATTTAGAATAAATGATTGAATTGTTCTTTCGAGACGTTGTGTTCTATGATATACTGTCAAGAGGAGATAATGAGGTTATTAATGTTGTTAAGTGAAAGATTCACTATTGAGGACATTAATGAGAATCAAAAACAATCAAACTTTTGCAGGGGTCCTTGACTCCACGAGGGGCTAGTATGATTTCTGGACGTGGATTTGGACCAGGATTTTTCGACACACACAGTTACTTTGTTAGGAAGAGGAGCGTAAGTTTTTTGCGTTGTTCGGTTTCGTATCACATCTTCAGCAGATCATCTCAGTCAAAACACATTCACCATTGTCTCATTATTGTGTTGATTCAACAGGTGAATTTCTTTCAGATGATGACACCAGACGAGTATATGCAGAGATTAGAGCAGCTACTTGAAGCTTAGCCTAAAAGCTGCTATGAAAACTATTGCGAACTAATATCAGCTTGCCTGGTGAATCTTAAAAGGATCTACCAACGAAACCGAATGAAATATTCACAAAATTTCATTTCACAAGTCAGTAACTGCTATTGTTCACTCGTTATTCCCTCTTCGGTCCACTCTCATCCGTGTTGATCTCATTTTATTGCAGTCGCATTGTTGTGATATCTCGCATTCCAACCAAATACTCCATTAATATTACTTCATTGCATTCACTATTTTATATTCGATGTAAGCTACAAACGAAATCCTCATATAGAATCTCGTTTTTGTTCAAGGATTTTGGCGACCATAAAACACAATAGAAGCTTCAGCAATATATCGTAATTTATAGTCGTGTAAATCCTCTCTCATATGACGGGAACGTATTGTTGCTTATCGCCCACACGAAACACCCCTTGCTGTGAACATAAAGAGACCAATTGTTTTCTGTTTCTTGTTGAATGCATTGCACTCATACACTACAACAATCATTACATACAAATGCAATTGTCGGTCCATTTCAGTTTTTTGGTGTATACAACAACTGTGATAAAATTTATTCGAAAATTCAAGCTTGAAAACCGTATTATGACATTTTCATAAATCAGAATAACAATACGACAAAATCACGCAGAATAAAAACTGAAAATTTCGCTAGCTGAATGAGATAAACACAATGATGGATCAATAACCATGAAACAAACAACAACGAATATTCGAATGATCACCACAATAAGTTACTGAATAATGTATGCCAACGTTGGAATGAACACAATTTTTGAAATGAATGAAAAAACCGAACTGAAAATCAATGTGCTATCGGAGGTAACAATTAGACGACATGAATTAATATGTGAAGAATAATTGATGAAGTGATGAGATTGCGTGAGAAGGGAAAGTTGAATGAAGCACACTGTAAAGTTGGCAAAAAGGAAAAAAAATGGAATGTGCACTTGAACAAATGGCAGAAACAGTATGAGAGTATTGGATAGCAGTTGAAGGCATTGTACACTTGGGAAATAATCACTTCGGAATGATCACTTCTGAGAATACCTCATTGCACATGAGAATGAGCTCGATGCTAGAGCACTGAATCCATCTGACATATTCGTCATTTTCAGAGCACAGCAATTCTTCATATGTGGTGCTTGCTCAAGCAACTGAAGATTTTCGCATATAATACTTTTATATCACTGACGTAGCGATATGATTACAACGGATGAGTAGTATCTTTGAAAGAGTATCATTTTCTTTTTTGATAAACCACTACTTGAATAATCGCACTCGATCATGTCATACTGCAGACAAAGCAGAAATCGTATTGAAGCGATCTCTCTCGCAAACTGTATATATCTATCATGCAATGCGATTTGTTTAATGAAATGACTGGTGCTAAAAAAAGCGATGGTCACCTTGATCTGATCACCAACTCGCACGAGTGGTTTATGGGATTTGAATTTTTCGTTTGAGCTGTGCTGCAAATGCCAGCACTCTTCGCAGTAGTACTGCAAACAATACACATCACCACAAAAATATGGTGCATAATTGCCTGAACATTTTGCTCCACCACATTCATCACACATTTGCTCGTCCATTATATACGGCTTAATTTCAACCTGAATTAGATCAATTTATCAGACAGTCAGACGTAGACATCTGCTTTTTTTCGGATGACGGATGAAAAGCGATAAATTCATCGAAATCTGATATCCTTTGTCGTTTTGTCACAACAAAAACTGACAAGTGACGACAGATAACGATTGATAACGAGGAGCAAAACTGCTGATAAAAATAACTTTATGTTCTGTTTCGTTCAACTGTCAGTCAGAATAAAGCCGAAAACAATTGCACTGATTGTCTCCCAAATCCTGGCAATTAAGAAATTAGCCGCTGCTTACTAAAACTGAGAATATAATTCGAAACTGCGTTACCCATTTGTTCACGCTATGGATCACACCCATTGCGTTCTGTGAATTATTTTGTTACACGCGACTTGTGAAAGAGAATCATTTCAAATGACTAATCCATGAAAATGTCTCTACTGTTTCCATCAATAATTTGATCAGACAATTCAAGAAAGTGAAAAAATCATTGGTGAAGCTTCAGCTACTCCAACGAATATTTTGATATTAAAAAACGCGAAAAAGGCGAAGGAAACGTTATTTTTTCACGGTGTTGAAAATATGTTCGGCACGAGAGGATGGCAGTGCAAAAACAAACGAAATTCTTTTTCATTAAATGTTACACTCGGAAAAAAATATTAAGCATCACTTGTGGTCAATATTTCGAATAACACAAATATTTCCTAGATATTCCACCATCCGGCTTCGGATAACTAATGTACGCTTCATCCCCTTGACAGAGGCTGCTTAGATCGAAAATTTTTTTTGCTGTTGCGAGGTCTCTTTTACGCTTCATCATTCTGCGCAGTTAGCGTCGTAGCAGATTATCTGGATAGGTCTATCTCCAGTTAGCTATTTATGCTTTGAGAATCCAGCTCCCAAAAAATTCAACTCGGTCTCCTCAACGTGCCACACTTATCTGAACTGACCAACATTCAGTACCCCATTATTAGAAGATTCTTCATTGTCCGAGCTCGTTTGTCTTCCATTATTGCTTTGCTCTCGCAATGAAGTTGATCTGTTTTTCCACGTTATCACTATTTAGAACTCAAATTTCTATCCGTTGTCGCTCGGTCGTTTCATTCTTATTACAGCGATGAAGCGAAAGTATTGACGAAAACGACAAAAATGCATTTGTTTAGTCAGATAGACCATATTCTATCCGCTAAACAACGACTTCGACCTTGGCGAAGTAATTGTTTAGCGGACAGAATATGGTCAATTACCTTTAATGGATTTTTAATTTGTTCGAATCCAAAATATGAAGTAATTGGAATTTGCTGAATAATCGATATGTCACGGGGACGGATGGTGAGTAAACTTGATGGTGTATGATTCTAGGAGTGTGACCAATTTATGCAACAACGCTATTATTAAAAATATGGTGATATCAACGTTCAAAAGAGTGCAGCAATTAAGCTTGTTTGTAAGGATGTCACGAAGCACACAACTTCAATTCAGTTAAAAATTACTCGTTTGGTTATCCCTCCGCAAAAGACATTGACGAACCGACCACTGATAGCTGATATGAATGCTCCTGTGGTTGCAAATGTAACTCTTGCAGCTCCTTTCGGGTATTTCAGTTCAGGATCAATGTCGATCCCTGCATAACATACCGGACCATAGAGCCCCTCCAAAACTCGTGCGAGGTCACCTATTATAATACCATGATTAAGACAGACATCACTGCACCAACATCTTCAGTTGGTTGAATACCCATCACGCCTTTTGTGTTTCAATGTAATTAAAAACTAAGCAGTAACTTCGTTACGAAGATCACTGTTCAAATGGAATGCAACAACTTCGCAGCTTTTTTATGATATAAGTTTCAGTACTGTTCTGACAGTTGCTAAATTCCACAAATATTTTTGAGCTCACTGAAGAGCTAATGAAAAACGAACTTGCCCTTGTCGGTCTCGGTACACCACCAATGAAAACCGTTCGACGAGCATCAAGCACCATGCTATCACTTAGTTTGTATGTGATGTCTGCCAGTCGCCACGGTCGAATTTGCACCTGCAATAAACGCTCGTACATTAAAGTGGGGAAATCGCTCCAGAAACACGGATAGAAGAAAATGGAAAAAGAACCATTATTTTCACGCAATCAGCGGTATAAAGAACGGCGAACATGAAGATTTCCATAAAATAAACGTAAAAAAAAGGAAACTTAAAATGACTGAAAAGCTTGAACTTTTTGAAGGTATGTCACTTGATGATGAAGTAAATGGTTAAAAAAGACTGCAATGTAATAAGAACAAGGATAAAACAAGGATAAAGAACAAAAACAATGCAGGCAATACCAGTGTAGGCTGCTATGTAATAATATTAATAAAATAATAGTCAAATGAGCAATAAAAGTAATGATTCATCAGTTCGTGTTGCAAAATAGAAAGCTGGACGATGTTCTATAGACTATTAGGGGAATCGCTAATAACTTGTCACAGAATTCCGAGTTCAGCTCGCATGCTGATGATCTGGCAAGAAATGCTTTTTCACTCTGTTCACTTGCAAACTATTCTCTAACAGTCTCTTAGTAGGGTTCAGGCGAGTGCGAAATCGAATTCGATGGCCTCTGAAAACTCGCGAATGATTGGGCCCTGTAGAGGTGGATGGTCCTGGGAAGTTTGTTGGAAGGTGCGGACCCAACTCTCTGATAAAATGTCTCATGTTAACACCAACGAACCGGTTTATTGCGCATCGTAGGGCTGGACACGAGAAGGTAGTAATCGTCACCATCTTTATGGCATCTATTCACCAAGCGCTGAACCGACTGTTCGTCCTCAAACACAATGAACACGTAACCCTTCAAACTTCCAACTGAAATATTGAACACGGTCAGGTTAGCATCCGCGCGATGCATTATGCATATCGTTTTACGAATCATCCTCTTCAATCGCTTTGTTCTATCGACGCTGACTCTGGTTAGGATTGTATTTGCATATTCATTTAATGCAAAACCCTCAACATATAAAGACCATATTTCACAACACTCGAACCATCTGACGTTGCGCCAACCTGGATGCGACAAAGTGTGTGTGCGATTCTTTGAGCAAGTATCCGAGCGATATGGCCAATCCACAACCATCGTGCCGAACTGCTTGAAAGTTGAAACAATTTCTTCTGAAATTTAGACCATGTACACACTCGAATCGTCTTCTATTATGCAAAACTATGGTGGTGATCAAGCGATGGCTCTTGAAATAAGCTGACGTGCAAATGATGTCTAACCTTGGCTCACATCGAATGGTAATCCACCAATGAAAACTTTGCGGGCAAAAATTTCTTCCGAACAATTCACTGTATCGCCATCACATTTCGCCGAATCTCCCATAGCGCTCATATTAAATTCTTGTGAATTGCCTTGACCTATTAGATTGCGATTAAATTCATACTCATTAGATGGGTATTTCTAGGTGGAAATATGATCTTCCCGTTTCATCGATTCTTCAGCCGGATGAAAATCGGTGCTTTTTAGTACTCTCGTTCTGTGGTTGAGGATAATGAATGGATCAAGAACGGAGACCGCACTGGAATCGTGTGGTATTCAAATTCGAAGCCGACAGTAACCTTTCATCAGGTGCACGATCAATCAGAATCTCAGTTTACTGTAGTGAACGGAATGCATATTTCGAAAAATTAGATGCATAAACAAAGAAATATTTGTGAATGGTTAACCAATATCATTGGTTGAAATTTTAAAAGCGAATGGCGAAAAAGCCTTGAACAAAGGATCGTTGGATGGCAGCATTGGATAACCACCCAGGAACGCACCACAGTTCAGTTCTTCTGCATTCAACGATTGAGCAAAGCTGAAATTTATGAAAAAGATATAACAGTGCCATCAGGACCTAAAGTTTATTCCAAAAATTGTTCAGCTTCCAAGAAGGGTGACTAAAAGCAAACCCATTCGCAACTGGCCCAAGGGAAGAACTCGATGCCGTATTCATTTTATTCGAATCTCGCCCAGATGACTCGGATGCACTCGATCCGGCAGAAGAATGTGCTGTAGGTGGCTGAAAAAATGCAGCGCTTCGATTTACAATGAATAAATATTTTAAACGAAATTTTGTGATTATCAAAAATCACTCTTTTTATCCATCAGATTCTTCGAAGATATCGCTAAGAGGTGTGAAAAAATCGCTATTAAACGACCTGATACAGTGCAGTGAAAATACTTCTGTTACTGAGACCCGATTGAACTTGACAACCCATTGCGTTAGTGCCATTTTCCTTTGGTGAATCCATAGTTCTCGTTGTTGATGTCGATCACTGACTGCCTATGAAAAGTAATACTTAAAATAATTCGAATTATTTATAAGCACATGATGCTAATGATTGACATTTCTCAACCAAGCTGCACTACTCTCAAATTGCAAGTTCTCGAAATTCACGAAAATTCTTTCAACTACTGTCAACTAAGCTAAGATCCCTTTTTTCATTTTCCAAGCTTCATCCTTCACAAAACTCTACCTTCTATGAGTAATTCCGACTTGCTCCTAACCGACAATTGCTCTTTTTCTTCCGTCCGTTCTTCCTCTGAATGCTAGTTGCAATCGATTCCTACAAAACCGTCGTTGAGTGATAGCTAGAGATGAAAAAATGATGGTGCCGCACCAAAAACTAGCACACAAAATGAATGATTGAAATTAGGGAGCATTTTCCATTCTGCATACATCATTGTTACACGTCACTTTTTAAAATATCTTTTGAAACAAATCTGAATAACTACTTTTCTCTGATTTCGAACTCATTAACAAATGCATATTACTGCCATATTTCATTGTAAATTCTCGATCAAGATCTGTGCCAACCTTTCCAACAACAGGGTACTTTCATTGTTTTGATGAGCGATCGAAACAACTTTCATTCCATCTGTTTGTGACATTTGTCAGCTTTTTTTTCAAGGTTTCGATGAAATTTTCGAGGTTTCGATGAAAACGGCATGTTCCGGTATGATACAAATTGAACTTGTCAGTGCCGTTAATCCTCTTTTGCAATACACCCACAAACAGTACAGTTTTGCATATTCTGTTTGTTTCAACGTGCATGCGGTTCGAAGCGACCAGAAAGAAAATACTGCATAAACATTCAAAATTTGCAGGATATCAATAGTCATTGTTTACAGCAACTGTGAACTCGCTTTGCTTTGGTTGTCAATGCCCGGAGCGGTTGGGCACTGCAAATGTNAAAAAAATTGTTTTGAAAAGTTATTTGCTGGTTCATTAACAGATTTTTCGCGTTCAGACGTATACTCTTAAGGTGAAATGAAACTATCAAATGAAATACTTTCAAAAGTGATAAAATAATTACGCTCCACCATTCTTGTGTGTTTTGATGCTTCAAAAATACTTCGTTTGTTGTCCTCTTGAACCTTAACTTTAAGAAAGAATGATTTTGAGGCGAAACATGCAGCACTACCTACAATCAAGCAAGGCGCTCATCCGATCGAGTTGGAGTTTCCAATCGAAGATGTCGATTTACGCAAAGATCTCCATGTAAAAAAATTCCTCACCAACCTTATGAGCGATATAATTATAATACGATAGGTAACGTTGAGGAATAACTAATGTGGTTTATCGCACGAGCTTCTTTTCTCAATTTGGGAATGCATTCCTCCATAATTTTGTGTCCAGAACACAGCAGGAATTTTTTTGGTTAGAAGTGTTCTCACAAAATTTGCATCGGTCTCTAATTGTAAGTTCACTTGAAATGTCTGTTTGATATTGTTGTTCGGTTGGCTCAGCATCGTGGTATTTTTACAGTACGCAGTGAATGTTGCACTACCACCATCACTGAGGGACACAGAAGAGAATACGAAAGAAAATAAGAGTAAATTCTATAGACTGAAATTGCTGCCTGAACAATATCGCTACACCGAGTAGTAAGTGAATCGTTTAATAAAATACAATCTAACATTTAACGTCTTCAGCCCGTCTGAAGACAGGCTCAAACACCGTACGGTTGAAGTTGACATTATCATCAGTCAAGCCAGTCCCCATTCCAAGCTACCTGACTAGTCATAATATGACCTTCATATAAATACCGACATCACTTTTCTATCACCCTAATGAAATGGTATTTTCTTTCTGAAATGGTATTTTTTACATTGAAGTGATTCTAACCAAATTTTTGACGAAGGATGAGGTAGTTACTTTTTCGAACGGAACGAAATTCCTTTCTTGATTGACGCTTATGAATTATAGCTATTACCCAGAAAATGAACCATATCGGGTCTTCTTTCACAACGTTTGCAATAGATGGTTCGTTTATAAAACATATCAACGTGTTGACGAGGTCAGTAAAACGATTTGTGATTTGACGATTCCTCAAATTATTTTTTGAGAAACAACTTCATGCAAACAACATTTCAAAACCTAGTTTCATATGAATTTCGTCATGTATTCTAGTTGTTCCTAACTGATAACTTCAACGCAAAATCCTATTATATGGGCATGATCCCGGATACGTTGATGCAACGAGGTGACTTTCGTGAGATCAACGATTTCCTGTCGTGAGTGACAATATGCTATATTTTAATTTATATTCGAGTGTGATGTAATAACATGAAAGCGCATAACTCTAGGTGACATGTCAACAAAAACTGACAGCATACCAGAGATGGATCAAAAACTTTTCACCGAGGCCCTTCCGATATAGCATTGAGTACGATATCCAGCTCTAATTAACATTATAATGTCACTGGCGATAATTTACAATTTCTTACGTGAATGGTGTCAAAATGTTACGTATTTTCTACTAAGAAAAATAAACACTCTCAGATCAAATTTTAAAAGACACAATGTGCGAGGATTGCAGAGTTGCATGTGTTCTTCACGGCGAGAATGAGCGCAAAAAAGAGCTGCAGTTCAGAACAGGTCGTGGATTTCGATTGAGTGCTCGGACGATGAAAGGACGCAAACTGCCAGCAACCTATCTCGCATCACATGCAAGAGAGGGGGTAAAACAATTTTATCGACTCATCCCGAAAATATCACAGAAACTTCTCTGAGAAGCATTTTATAAACATTGTTTCCACATATTTTGGTGATTAGAACAAATTTTATAGCTGAAAAGATGAGAAGTTGCATATTGATAGCTTTTTTCAATTGAAACTGAATCAATCTGAATGCGAGAAGGGAGCAAATAAGNTAGTGAAAAAAATTCATCGGAAACTTTGAAATTTTTTTTGCGAAGATTTCGTAAAATCCGTGCACACTGATCTCATATTGCTGCTTTCAGCGCACAGGGCCCACAATGCTGAAACTAGTTGTGTATCGACACGCCGTCGACATAGCCAATTACCAAGAGGGAAGATTGAAGAAGATTAATGAAGAATCAAAAAACGTTGACATATATGCACATTTGACGGTATGCATTTGCATGATCACCTTCAATTCGTTCAGTTAAGAGAGCCTAGTGAATTAGGACACTTGAATGCTGAGGAGTTGTTTTTGCAGAAATTTGCTGGCGATCATGCCGCCTGGTTGAAAGTTAGGAGAGGGATGCTCGATTATGAAGCTCTCCAGCACCGTATTCGAAAAACTGTTCCTTTCAAGCGAAGTGCTGCAACAAGGTTTGCGATTAGAACAATTCCAAACAGAACATTTCCTCCCATAAAAAGATGTAACTTTCCGAACTTATAACAATTTGAGGCAGTAACTTATTGGTTATTTCGATAAATTTCGAGTGAAATCGAATTTTGTACTGATTACGAAGTTGTTTTGATAGGCTTGTGATATTACCCGGCTTAACAGTAGCAGACTTATGCAATGAATTGATCGATTTTCCCGCATGGACCGGTTACCATTACTATTATATGCGAGTATGCAATAAGAAAGGTGTTAACATTGTTTATGATGATATCAATTATGCAGTGGTGAGATTATGTTTCCTTTTGATTTGGTGTTTTTTCGTTTGAGCAGTGAGTGAAGTAGAACTTCGGGACAGTTGATTGATGGTAACATACGGTCACGTGCGCGTTGTTGCTTATAGTTGCAATTTTGATCAGGGATAATGAGAAGAACATAAAAATGCTTGAATGTGACTTAGTTTGCACAATGTTCACGAACACAAATATAGTTGAATACGGTTGGAATGATTCTGCCGACTCAACCGTTTCAGAAAGAAAACAACAAACTTCGTCATTTACGAGTGAAATTGTCGCGATATTCGTATAGTCCTCAAGCCGTGGCAGTATTTGATTCACAAAAAGTGTTCAGTGGTGGAAAAGTGAGTATGATCTTTCAGTCACATTTCAACTGAACTATGCTTAATCGATAAATTACAATTTTGTCAATTTCAACATTTACAACGTCCTCGCAGTTGCTTGTTTTGAGGTGTATTTACCGCAGAGCGTTTCAGTTGATACTTGACAACTATCCGCTAAAGAATCGACCGCCGAGTGTTGCATCTGAATCTGGTGTATCAACCATTACGAAAATGTCAACTGCAACTACGGTTAGCTGTCGTGGCTCATTCGTTCGTCGAAACTTATGCGAAAACGACATCAAACACTTCAAACGTGGCAACGCCGCGCCACTTTCGATCTCATTTAACGAGGAAATGGCATTCGAGGGCATCGATTGCTCTTACGATAGAAAGTATCCCGCACTGCTCGTTATTGCGAAAAAAAANAAAAAAAATAAAATAAAAAAATAAAAAACTTTCAAACGCTGACAATAAATGAGTAAAAAATTGTTTAAAGTCACCGAATTCGTGGTGTAACGACTGGACTATGCAAGCAACACACGATGACTACGATCATCGCTTAACAGAAACAACGATCGCAAATCCACGAGAAGCACACGCTGTTGGTGAAGAGCAGTTCGCGATACGTCTTAACAATGAAATCAATTCACGACTTAGTTTTGTTGTGGCGTAAGTTGTTAGAGAGCTGAGCTTTTAAAGTGTACACTGCTTGTATTCTTACAGGTGGCAATAATCAGGGTGAAATATGGTGATTGGATTAAGTTTATGCTCAGGCTTAGATTGATGCTCACGCAGGGGAACATTGCACTTGATTAATAAATGCCTTATCCCTATATGACAGAACCATCCATTTATTTAATGGATAGCTCAGACCGGCTAGGAGCCTCAACCTTTATAGTCTAAGCCCAGCTATTATCCATCCTCAGATTTCACTTTGACTATCACCAGTTATATCCTCACTGATCACTTTATCTCACTATCAGTTATATATTTATGAATGTAATTTTGAATATGTTCATCTCATTTTCAACACAGAATGGTGACTACTAAATTATAAAATGTATTGTCAAAATGCTGGTGAATTGTAATTTGAAGCGATATGGACACGGTAGCGACAACGCTGAATCTGAACAGCCGAATGGACCCACGGGTGGTGTGCGCATGCGAATTTCAGTCACCATCGAGAATGCTTGAGGAAATTGGTGACCTGAAATGGTTGCATGATGCCGAAAAGAGAATCGATGAGATTGTTACGAAACCAAATCCAACTGCAGACGATAGAAAAGATCTTCAGGTGAGCGCTCTAAAAAGAAACTGTTTCATCAGTTAAATTATGTTTTTTGCTGCAACTAACAGCAGCATTTAAACTGTTTGAACTCACAATCATCATTGGACATATTATTCAATGATCTGACATTTTGATAATGTCATGAATATGGAGCAACGCATTGTAAGTGATCAACGAAATGAGAACAATGGAAACGGAATAATAGCTAGATTGGAAGCAGCACCGAAGTGCTATATTATCATCAGCTTCCGCCAAAATTTGAAATTTGCAAACTATTATATTTCAAGGTGCTGCTCTACGCTAAACAACGCTATGAACAACCTTTGTCTATATACGATCAAAGTACACTACAATCAATTGATGTGGCACAAGAAAAACCACAAACGGTAAGTTAAATCTTGCATAATAAATTTTCAACGGAATGGTTCTAGCGAAATGAGCGCTCCAAGAAAATTGCTGAAAATGAAAGTTTATTAATTGATATTACCGATGAATTTATAGACTGATTAATAAAATACCGATGAAAATCAGAATTATTCATTTCGCATCGTTCCTCATCGCATCGTTGCTGATTTTCCATCAAACTCAACCAATAGTCAAAAGTGCACATGAGAGAGTTTTGTGGACTTTATCGAACATGCATCTTATAGTTATCAGAGGGAACGATATGCCCGGGACGAGCGTCCAAGTACCGTTTATTTTTGAATGAAAGTTGGCGTCGCACTATTGATACGAATCGCCTGCCTGCAAACGTTTTGAACGTTCTCAAGTTGTTGGTAGTACTTTGAGCTTCTCGGAGAACAGCCTTTATTGAGCGAATGAAGTGGTAGTGAAAATATGAAATTCTGAATTTCTTTTCCTTTCTTTTAGCTGAATATTGCTAGTTTCCATATCATGACTAGTGATGTCTCTGTTCCAGTTAAACTATTCTATTCTATTCTATTCCATGGAATAGAATAGAACAGTTCGTGAATGAGGAAGGAACAGTTCGAAATAGCGTGCAGGCTTTTTGGAGCCCGGAAGAATAGAATAGTACAGTTTTCAAAAGAATTTGACTGTTCTTTAAACTGTTCCAAGTGAAGACTGCAGAGAGATAGATTACCATTGTTATATTATTATTATTATTATCTTTATTGTTATTATTATTACTACTATTTATTATTATTGTTTATCAATGTTATTATTTATTATTGTTTATTATTTATTATCATTTATTATATTCCTTATTAGTATTGTTTTTATTAATACTGTTTTCATTTTACTTATTATTATTCATTCGCACTATTATTTATTACTAATTGCAATTTTTATTATTATAATTTATTGTTACTATTGTTATCGTTTTTTTCATAAATTATCTCGTTACGATTTTTTTTGTCAAATCATGGATTATAATTGTGTGGCTGGAAGATGTTTGAGGCTTTTACAAGGATGGNACTCTAGGAGCAAAGCATCACAAAAATTGTTAACATTTTACGCCTCCAATAAAAGTTTATGCTTGGAGGATTTGAGTCCGATTGAAAGAATCAGTTCATTCCGAATTCATTTGTACGAGAAACAGTGCATCAGTTTCTGACCGAACCGTTGGGACGAAACGAGAATCCTCTGTTCTTCAATGATGCTGGTTACCAGAGCCCAAACCCTCCGTTTTCCTCCAACCACTACGGTTAAAAGCTGCCAACTGCCTGCTTGAATAATCTTTTTCCACCCGAAATAATCTCCATTTTGCATTGAAAATGCTTAAAAAAACCCATTTTCCAACGGTAACTACCACAAGTTTTATCGTGTCACTTTTCTGACCGACGGAGCAGAATAGAGTAGTTTAGAACAGTATAGCACAGTTTAAGGAGGCAGAACAGAATAGAACATAACAGGTCTTGAACGAGGGATGCACAGGATAGAATAGAATAGAGCCGTTTTTGGACAGGAATGGAACGGAATAGAGCAGTTTTCAAAAATGTGGAATAGAAATATCACTAATCATGATGTATAATTTCAAGTTGAATTTAGGTGACTGATCGCCATTCGTGGGTGCTGGATTCGGATTATTCAAACATTACTCTAGTGAGCCGTGCTGATAAGCTATGCAAAACACGTGTAGCTGATTTCTTTCATCGATTTCATTTGGTAAGAGAGAGAATGCATCTTTTGCTGAATAAGTCCGAACAACCAGTCAAAATGACCTTTTTATTTTCTAATTCTCTTTGAAACGGAACGGGAACAGAAAAACTTTAACACAGAATAAAGTATGCGGTAGAGAGCAAGTAAGTATTTTAAGGATGCATTTCATTCCTAAATGTTCAGTTGACAGGTGACATTATAATTTATCTCACTTTGATTACGGTTAATTCATGGTGAACAGAAATATTACTGGACTGTTCCGTTCCGTTTCATGAAAGCGTATGATTATTGCGATTAGGTGTTTTTCAGTGGGAGTTTAATTGAACATTCCCATTGATATGTTTGCAGAATTGCAAAATGCAGCTCACAGTTTATTTGCAGACTGACCGACAAGCAAACTTTTTGGCTATCGGAACATTTTTGTTATTCTTGTTCTTGTTTATTCTATTCTGTACAATAGTCATGCTGAAACCACAGTCTGTGGAGGATGCTGATATTGGTTACTGTCCAGCGAGTGTTTTCGGCTTCGATACTGATGACCCAAAACGTTTGTTTTCAAAACTTTGAATATCCAAACATTGAGAAAGTTCGAAAATTTCATGTCTTTTTTGTATTTCGTATCTAACAAATTCAAGGTGCAAAATACAAAAGTGATTTTAACGTTTATGGCTTTGCAAGTTCACGAATGAAGTGATTTATTTCATTGTAGAAGTTGCAACAATGCGTGAATCGTACGATATCAAAATGGCTACTCACTTCGTCAGTCCAAGGACCCGAAGCGGATACTTCTTCTGGCCATCTGGTGACCTACGATCTCAAGGTTCTTGGATCTCTCGTATTCTTGTATTCTCGGATCTCGGACCTCTCATAGGATTTTGAACTGGTTCATTCTTTTCAAAAGTTTGCAATCGACAATCCATTTGAAGACTCAAAGAGAACAACCACAATTGCCAATGTATTAAACGGTTCCAGAAAATTGTACATCTGAGATTGGCATATGCTTTCGGATGACATCTTCTTCTTTGCTTTTATTGTTTTGATTGAGATTCGATTGGCCTCTTTACCACTGAATTTTCAGGACATTCTTGAGAAGCTACTCTTAACGAACAAATTCATTGCAGTTGATAATGTTACACTGTGATTGTTGAGTTATTCCTGAACTTCTTCTACTATCTCTCCTTTTGCGTCTCCATTTGTGCAACAGACTTTCAGTACTTTCCAGTCAAGACGCTCAGCACTTCCCATCAGTAAACTGCATGAAAAAATCATGTAGTTAGTGCAAAATATTTCCAATTCCATTGCCTCACCATACTATAATTGTTGACCATTCGACCAGCCCGCTGAAGCAGTTGAGCTCTAAATTTGGAAATTCACTCTAAATTTGGAATACCGCTATATGTGACTATTTGAAAAGTGTATTATCGATATACTGATGCGTACCTGAAAGGATATTTAGTGCAGTGACATGGGAGCATAAGTGAAAATCTCTCTATTAAGAGATTATCTAGGTACGATACAAATATGATGTTGTTTGTGTGATCACGATAGCACATCACCACGAGTATACGTCAAATGTTTGCGTTTGTTTGAGACGAATGATCAGTGATGAATCATATCGGTGTGAGGTGACGAAGACTGGTTGTTGTTTTGTGGGTTTAATGTTATAATAGTTCGATTGAATGCACAATGAAGAATTGAGGTGCGGTACGGAGGGAATATTGCTTTGTTAACGTTATATCCACATACCTTGCTACCCTACCTTCGTTCTATCTGTCCATCTGTACGTGTTATAGATAAATGACGTTCAACAAATGTCATGCATTTTTATCGCTGTCATTTATTGTGTGAGCGTTGGTGATCAGTTTTGCGATTGTTGAAGTTATTATTGATTTGACAGCATTCATCCAACTATGTAGTGCATTTTGTTTTAGATTTTTAAAAAATTTATTTGATTTGTTATTGCTCTTTATCGTAAGAAAATGTGTACATTGTACTGTTCATTTATTATTTGATAAACGCAATTTGTTGTGGTTGTGAGAGGAAAAGGAAGTGAATATTATCTTGACGTTTGCTTCAAATAAACGATGAGTCATTACAGTGAAAGTTCAGTTTTGACGAATCACCCATTTTATCAACAATGAACAAACACTTTTGATGTTCACTCTTATCAATCAGTAATTAACAGACAGAACATGAACGAGTTTTTTCAGCAATGCTCAGCTCATCTTCATTGTTGCTATTAATGTTTTTGGAAAGTATTTCGAACTTCACCCCATTAGATTGCTTCTCCAATCGTTTCACTGATATTATTCCATTTTGCCGTATTTTATAGAAATTCCACTCATTATCACTTTCACTATTCAAAGATGGTCAGTGAAAATCTGTGACTGAAAAAGAAACGAAATTCTTTAATAGATATTCTTGTTGTCCATGTTTTTTGACGAAGTAGCTATACCAATACAAATGAGAGCAGCTGCTAACGATACCATTGATTCTGTTCTATGTGAGAGCAAAAAAATTTTATATAATTGAATGTTTTGACCGATGTTGAATGACGAAAAAAATTATGCTGATGCGTTTCGGTTTTCATTTCGAATTACGAAATTCGATATTCGATTTCTCACCTCAGATGAATATATGCGTATGCTGTTATCACTGGGAGCATGCTCAAAAATGGAGTGAATCATAACAGTAGAGTGAGTCACCTCATTGAGCCGTCTTATCAAAGAGATATGTACAGCTCTCTTTCTCACTCTCAACGCTGTAGAGTTGTTAATTTTATGCTCGAATCAGTCAAAGTATATCTTATCAAATATCCTGCCGTAAATATTTCCATACATTTGACACTGTGAATGCTTTCTGTTAATTAAGAATTCATATTTTGCTTGGAAGTGATGTTGTTTACAATTAGGTAAGTTCGTTGTTGTGTGTACTTCGTAGGGCGTTTTTGGAAGTAAAACGCACAAGTTCATGGTTCTCTAATGTAATGCTTAGCATTATTTTGTTGTTACTTTGATATTTATCGCAAGTGCTGATATGTGTCCATTGTAAACGTTACAGTTGAGTGACGCAATGTGTTTCAGGCCCGGTGTGTGTTGATGTTTGAATGACATTTGCCCGTTAGAAGCACTCATCTTCCTCAAACCTTAACCAATACAATGGTGAGATGCACATCGTAATTGAACGACATATGTTTAAAAACACTTGATCATTTATGACAAACGCAAATGTTGCTAATCATAAGAATAACTGTAAATTGAATTTGAATATGTCGATTGGTAGTGATCATGATCACTGATTAATTAAGCTAATGCACGCTTACATTCGAATGAAACGTTTACTATTTCAAAACAAGTTTTGCCATTCGAAAATATTTCCCGATTAACCGAAGGAGAGCTTTGCAAAAATTGAAGCGAGTATACTTTTTAGGCATTTCACTGGCAATCAAAAACAAACGTTCAAAATGTTGGAGTGGACGATATGGTACTTCTTAGTAAGCTGAGTGAAGCTGCGATTGTCGAAAACCTTAGAAAGCGGCTAATGGGCAACTTCATTTTCGTGGGTCTCATTAATCATTGAAAAACATCACCGCTGAAAGCTGTTCAATTAGTTTTTGATTAGCTGGGATGTGCCCCTAATATTCCGGCTCAACCAGGATCTTGGTGACTGGCACTAAGTTTTTGCTTTTTTCCGACAGAAAATGATGGAACACTTCATGTGTTTTGGATTTTTGGCAATCAAAAATTAATCGATTTGATCGAATAATTTTGATTGCCAACAATCCAAAATTAATATTACTCGAAAATTAAGTTAATCAATCAGTATCCAAATCAATCGAACAGAATTTTTCAAAGTTAGACGATAGACTCTGTTGGTTGCACTATTGAACAGTACAGAGCGATATTGAAATAATAGATGGAATTCATAAACAAAATATGATGAATCGATTGAAATTGGAAAATGCCATGCGATGTCATTTGGTTTTATTTCACATGTGCTCTCTGAGGGAGGATTGGAACAAGCAAACGTTTCAGACGTATATCGGACCGGTGCTTATCTCGGTGAACCCCTTCAAAGAAATGCCATATTTCACAGAGAGAGAAATGCAGATATATCAAGGAGCTGCACAATATGAGAATCCACCACATATTTATGCATTGGCAGATAGTATGTTCAGGTAAATGGAAGGAAGAGCTCTATCCTTAATCGTAGTACATTGCGCAGTTTTATTAAGTGCGATTTTGATAAGAGATCAGACTATCGGAATGTTTAACAGCGCTTGCAGCAATTAAATCAACGCGACTATGAAAATGAGTGCTGATTAGATTCAAAATTTAGGGTGAAAAGATTGATGCTTATCAGGATGAATGACTGACGAGATTAAATGCTCTCTTTGATCATCCTCGACAGATATCGAGGTTCCTATTAAATCTCATCAATACGCAATATTTGTCGAACTAATCAACCAAAAGCGATATTCAGGAATATGATGATTGATAATGAAAATCAGTGTGTTATAATCAGCGGTGAGAGTGGAGCTGGTAAGACCGTGGATGCGAAGTTCATTATGAGTTACATATCGCGAATATCAGGCGGAGGGCAACGGGTGCAGGTTGACCATTTATTTATTCAATGGTGTAATAGCATTGCATATCCGATAAGTGAAATTCAGTGTTACACTCCGTAGATTTATTCTTTACAAACGCCCAGAGACATGAAACATTCGATATGTTACAAAAGTGAAGATGCTGCTGAAATGCGCTTTTGAGAAATGGGGATTGTGTCATCGATTGAAATATGATTGTTTTAAACAGATATCTAAATTAATGGAACTGAATTTCTCGAAGTTAGGGGGTTGGCTTTGTTGCTCGCACTCCTGCACTGACTTGTGCGCAGTTCAGTAGAATGTTTTATTTCAGCACATCAAAGATGGAATATTGCAATCAAATCCTCTGCTGGAATCTTTCGGTAACAGTGCAACGGTACGTAATTGGAATTCGAGTCGATTTGGCAAATATGTTGAGATCGTATTCAGTAGAGGTGGGGAGCCGATCGGTGGAAAGGTATTTTAATTCAGTGACTCAATTTCAATGTTTCCTTATTTGGTTCTGGTTCGAGATGATGAAAATGCTGACTGTTTATCGCTGCAAAATATCAACCGTTCAATTCAAGACTCACAGCTGGTAGGGATGGACAGTTCAGTTCACGTTCAACAGAATTTTTTTCTGACAATGAATTGATTTTGCAAGTGAACTCTGCCTGTTCATTTAAATGTTCAATTAAAGATATCCAACTTCTTGCTGGAAAAATCGCGAGTCGTTTACCAGAATCAAGGAGAACGCAACTTCCACATATTCTACCAACTCGTTGCTGGCGCTGATGAGGCTTTGAGAAGTATGCATGCCGTTACATTCTATTCACTTTTATGCGATTTTATCTGCTGATTTGGAAATCTTGACTTGCGTTCTGCTCTGATCCAAGAGTAGTGCCCCACTGGATTATTCGAATATTCATCTAATCATCAAAAGGAGTAATCGCTCCCAAAATTTTTCATGTTCATTCAGCGCTAAATTTTCACACTTATCGCTAAATTACTATGACTGACTAGTTGCAGTAATTTTTGGATGGATATTGTCGTTATCCTCATTATTAACATTTTTAATCTGATCATTGATTTTCAGGTAATCTTGGAATAAGTTCATTAGACTATTACAATTATTTAAATCATAGTGGTTGCTACCAGATCGAAGGCACAGATGATGCTAAGGAATTTAAACAAACATTAGTGAGTTGCATTACCTCATTTTGCATTTATGTTTCAGTCTGAAATACGTACGAAATGCTTTTGCATTACCTGAAAATAACAAAGAGTGCAAAGCGAAAGTTGTTAGCAAGTATCGAAATACGTCGCTCTAATCGTGGATTAGACATGATGTAAACGATATACTCATTCTGGATTGTGTTTGTTCGAAGAACTCTCTGAAGGATTAAAAGATGAACTAAGCACTAAACAAATAAATGCAAAGAGGCTTGTTTCCAGCTGGAATGCAATTTCATGTTAAATCTGATACTTGCTTGCAGCATGCAATGAGTGTTGTTGGAATTAGTAATGAAAAACAAATGGAGGTTTTGCAATTGGTTGCTGCGATTATGCACATTGGCAATATCACATTCACAGAGCAAAACAATTACGCAGCTATTCTTGATGAACGTTGTTGGTATTTTCATTCATTCATAGCGATAAGTTATTCAATAAATTACTCACTTTTGTACAACTGTTATTTTCGAACACCGGGAGTTCTAAATGCAATTGTCATGAAATACCGAAGGCGTTCTAACAGTTTTTACAATTAATCAACTTCTGTAGTTCAAAATGTTTATGGATATGATGCTGATTATGGAAAAAATTTACACAAATTTCGTTTCAAAAGCGATTCCATTCGCTCAATATTTGAATTTTGAATGTTCGATCTTCCGGAGAAGTTTTCTTGTTGTATATTTCAACAATGAGTACTGCTCGCAATAAGATGTGTTATAGTTCTTGAATTCCCTGCGTTTCTGCTTGGTTTATCAACGTCGGCAATCAAAGAGAAATTAACGAGTAGACATATGGAAGGTAAATGGGGTCGACAAACCGAGCAAATTGAAGTCACGTTGAATGTTCAGCAGGCAGAATTCACTCGCGACGCTTGGGTCAAGGAATTGTACGCACGACTGTTCGACTTTCTCAGTTCGTAATGATTTGTGATCGTTTTTAAGCATTATTATCCAACAACTTCACAAGCTAAAAAATCATTTTACAGTATCGTCTGTGAACGAAGCAATAAGGGTGGACAGTGGTGTGTCAGGAACTCCTTTCTCGATTGGCATTCTCGATATTTATGGATTCGAAATTTTTGACAATAATGGATTCGAACAGTTTTGGTAAATGTCATGAAATCTCACAATTTGCATGGACGTCTAATTCGTTTGCATTAATTTCGGATTGAGTTCAGTGGAAATGCTCGCCCACAATATGGACGGATTTGATCGCATCAATTTTCAGTATCAACTTCGTAAACGAAAAATTACAACAGATTTTCATCGAGTTGACTTTGAAAGCCGAACAGGAAGAGTATGTCAGTGAGGGTATAAAGTGGCAAGAAATTGATTACTTTAACAATAAGGTTGTATGCGACCTTATTGAAGCACGCAAACCACCTGGTAGGAACTTACATTATTTTATTGTAAAAATTGTTTCCAATTATTTTCGGTTTTTATGCNTATTTTGCATATGTACAAGCGATTCGTGTTTTCAGGTATAATGTGCATTCTGGATGATACATGTTCACAAATTCATGGGCAGAATGAAGGTGCCGATAGCAAATTCCTTATGAAACTCAATCAGCTACTCTCCACTAACGAACATTATCGTAACGGCGCTGATTGTTTTGTAATTAAGCATTATGCCGGCGATGTGAGTCAGTTCTTATTCAGTTCCTGTTTTATTTAGTTCATGGGCCTTTTTCTGTTCGAGTTTACCCAACATTTGGCTGTGCCACTTGCTCGGTTCAACCTGTTCGCTTTTCATATTAATTCCTCATCAAGGGTTTCATAACGATTGATGAGGACTATTTGATTTCTAAACTTCTACTCAGATGTACATTTCTCATCAAATAAACTTTCCCATATCCCAGGTTGTATATAATGTCGACTGTTTCTGTGAAAAGAATCGTGATGTTCTCTATCAAGATCTCATCTCTCTAATGCAGCATAGCGAACGGTACGGAGCGATTTTATTACACAATCCTAATAATGCAATAAAACTGATTGCAGATCTTGCTCGTTTGATGATGTTCTAGCTTGAAACTTTCTGTTCTTTCCGAATGTTCTTTCGGAACTCAGTCTCCGGTAGCAGTGTCTTTATTCCATTCCGCATACATTTCAGATTTGTAAGCTCAAAATATATTTTTTCAGTCCATTCCTCGCTCACATGTTCCCCGATGTGATTTCTTCAGGTGCAAAAACAAAACCAACGAGCTTCTCGTCAAAAATTCGCGTAAGTGTTTTTGTGATTGTTCTTCAAATTAGCAGAGTGTGACAGATTTATAGGCAACATTCAGCCAATCAAAATTTTTCCCTGTTCCATAGAGGAATCTAAATGGAAACATTTATTTTGGACATTCTCCGCGAATTCTGCTTTCTTCTGCGGCGCCATGTTTAATAATGGAGCTGATCTGAATTGGATTGGCACGCCGGTCAAAAGCACCAATTGTGTCGACAATTTGAAGTCTTCTGTTTGAAAGTGAAAACTTAAGAACGCATCGTTGATTGAAAGAACGATTATGAGCATTCTAAATGCAGTATGCTTGTTGCTTATGCTTATGTTTTCCAAGTCAAAATTGTATTGTGAGACTCGTCGTGAAGTGATCATTTAATATCTGATTTCACAAGTCTTTAGACACAAGCCAATGATCTTGTTGAATCTTTAACGAAATGTGCGCCTCATTATGTTCGATGCATTAAACCAAATGAAACAAAACGTCCACTCGATTGGGATGATAAACGGTATGTATCAACGCCCGTATTTCGACCACCTATCATTTTTTGAATCCGAATTTGCCTTTCAGTATCTTTGATAACTCACCACCACTTATGACTATTTTGAACTTACGGATGCTATGTTATTGAACTTGAGGAAATTTGAAGCTTTTAGAGTGTTGCATCAAGTGCAGTACTTGGGATTGCGCGAAAATATTCGGGTACGTAGAGCCGGTTTTGCTTATCGAAGAAAATTTGAAAAGTTCATTTACCGTTATGCGATCTTGTCGAAGGAAACGTGGCCAAATTACCGCGGTGATCCGAGAAAGGCAATAGAGGTAATGTATAGCATTACTCATCGAATCCTTTCTACTCTTCTGTTAACAGTTCGTATTATCATACGACTTTTTGTTATCGACAATCTGATGGACTGCTCTGATAACTTCCTTACTCATGCACTCAACTTTTATCAGTGAATTTTGAGTGAATAGTGTCTTCTGTAAATGATTAATCATCTCGTTGTTATTTTTAAGATTATCTGTCGTTCGGTATGTATGGATACCGATCAGTATCAATTGGGAAAGACGAAGGTTTTTATTAAGAATCCTGAATCGGTTCGGTTTTGTTTAGCTGTTCATTTTGTCTTTCAGAAGATATCACAGCCTTTAATATGTGGAGTCTGCTACGAATGTTTATGTAGAGTGATACTGCCTTTCATTACAATAAATTTTATTTGAATAATGATCCATGATGTACGTTCACCTTCCTTGAGAACCGTGGAAATGATTTTATCAGCCTGATTCATTAGCTTTTGCGTTCTGCATCAGTTCACTGCATACCGTGTTGTTGACAACTTGAAGCTTTTCCTCCTGGAAGAAACGCGCGAGCGAATGTACGATGGTTACGCGCGGACGATTCAGAAGGCATTCAGAAGATTCAACGCGAGGAAACAGTACATGAAAGTGAAGGTGAGTTTGTGGAAATAGTGTCTATCTTCAGCGTAATTGCCAGAAAAAATCCCGTTGTAAGGGTCATTACTTTGGTTCATTGAAAATGTGATTAGAGAAATGATGAATTTTGCTGTATTTGAGGATAACGTTCCGAATTTTTCATATTGGAAGGTCGTAACGTTGTGGTTAATATGTGCCTTGCTGTGTTTAGATGCCAAACAGTTATAGATTTGATTTAAATGAAAAGAGAGTAATAAAATGTGTACAGCACTTCTAGGGCTTATTTGATCTAGTGCCGACTTCAAAATTTTACTGCTTAGTCTCAAGTTTGAGCGTCTCAAATCTATTTTTTCGATTTCAGCAGGAAGCGTGCGATTTGTTATATGGTCACAAAGAACGTCGTAGATATTCGTTGAATAGAAATTTCGTTGGCGATTACATTGGTCTTGAATATTGTCCAATGTTACAAATTCTCGCTGGAAAGAGAGAACGCATCATGTTTGCGGCTACAGTCAGTAAATATGACCGACGATTCAGGGTATGCAAGCGACTCTTGTAGAAAGAAACAGTTGTTTTGACGTGAATTCTATTCATCGTAACGAAGTTGTGGCTGCAATCAAGAGAAAACGATGCAGATTTGCGTTTTGAATTGAGAATGACGATGCGATGAACAACAGTTAAAATTATCAAAGTGAATTTGGAATTCAGGTTTCGAAGTTGGACTTGTTGGTGACATCGAAGGAAATTGTACTGATTGGCCGCGAAGTCGTCAAGAAAGGGAACGAGAAGGGCAAAATTGTTGAGGTTATAGTCGCTCAAGTTTCGTAAACGTTCAGATCTCATGATCGTCGAACAGATCAGATTAATATTCTGAACGATCACTTATATTCCGTCTGCTTAGCACGTTTTGTTATATCACTGCAAACGCTTGAGGAGAGTATAAAGGTCATGTAAGCGAAAGTATTCGAATGACTTTTTATATAGAAATCATTTGGAAATATCAACAGGTGGTGAAACGCAGGATTGGTTATGGTGAGCTGTTGAGTGTCGGTCTCAGTCCTTATCAAGACAACTTCTTTGTGCTCAATGTTCGAAATTCTCATACGTCGCTTTTGGAGACACCGCTTAAAACAGAGTTTGTAACTGTTGTAAGGTGAGTGATATTGACTGAGTCAGTTCAGCGTTGTCACCAGCAAAACATAATTGAATTTACATCGTTTGTTTGTTTTTGGTGACTGATTGCTGATTTTGTGTATGCATCAAACAGTAATATGGGAGTCAGTTCTTCCTCCATTCATCCTTGCAGCCCTTCAAACCTCATGAGAAGAAGGGGAACGGTCGACCATTATTATATCAGTCACAATCCTAGTCATCAGCTAGTAACGTTATCTGTGGCTAAATTGACGTTTTCAGCAAGCAATATTCTCAGTTCACAAATGGTGCAGTTCTACATCTGCTATTTTGTAACTCTTATCAAATTATTTTGAAAAAGACTCGTTTCGGCGGTGGCGTAAGAACAGTAACATTTTCGAATAATCCATCGTGCGGTGATGGTATCAACTTAGTGTCGAAAGGAAAAACACTTTTCGTTTCGGTTGGTCCTGGCTTATCGAATACATCGAGTAAGTTTTATATGACGGTAGTCAACATTCCATATAAGTTTACTTGATGCCATCAGATTTCAATAGATGTGTTTGGCGACTGTTCGTATAGCACTGCTAAATTGAATGTTTTATTTATTTGCGTTTGCAACGTCATCAAAATGAAAGGTATGTCGAATGCATCATGGTCGTATCGATCAATGACTGTTCTTATTTCTACCAGCATTCATACCGACATGGGCTTTTAAGCATTTTGAAAGCTCCAAATGTGTTTGCAAAGAAACTAAACACCGAACTCTACACTCAGTCTAATGTGCAGTCATATCTATGCTCATTCTAGAACCAAGTGCTGAAAGACCAACCATTCCCAACCATAAACGAATACCAACGAAAAGCACTCAGCCGCATCGAGCGGCTCCTCAGCCGATGCGAAATCACCCACCTCCTGCCTCGTCCAATCGAGTATATCCCCAACCAACAAATGGAGTTATTGAAATGAATAACAATACTCTTCGTGACCAAACCGGAACACCGTCAGCGTTTGTTCAGGTTTGCTTTTGACAGTGCCTGACCCCGATTTTATAACACTCATTGCTATGATCACCCTTCAACCAGTCACTGTTGCTTTTCAGCCTCAGCCACTCAGAAAACCAAAACCTCCGTTAAAGCCGAAGCCAATGCCTTTGGTAGAGGCACTGTACCAGTATGATGCACAAGATACTGATGAGCTATCATTTCAAGTGGGTCAAAGGTTCGAATTAATCAATAAAGGTAAGATAAGATACTGCCATCTTCAAAATTTATTTTCACTTCATGTACTGGAATTAAGCAATGTTTAGTGATTGCATGTGTGCGTTTAGATCAAGCATTGCATAAGTAATCGTATCATTGCAACCTTAATGTTCTGCATTGAAACTGAATGCAAAAAGTTCCATAAAAAGATGGAATGAAACGAGTCTCCTCTTTTCTTATTTTCAGACCCCTCGGGATGGTGGCAAGGTCGAATGCGTGACCGAACTGGTTTGTTTCCGTCCAACTATGTGAAGGAATTGTGATTTGACTCATTCGTGATTTAATTACAATATTTTGCCATTTTATCTCAAATGTGATTGATTTGGGATGTGAAATTCAAAGTGATAAGACTTTGAGTAGATTATGCTCAAGAAGTAACGAAACTGTCACATACCATTCAACTATCGAAAAGGGACGTTTTGGCGTCGCTGTTTCAGTGTCGACTTTTGCTCAGCCCTAAAGGGAGACTAATCTGAAATATTTGCTCTGCACCACTTGACGCACTGAAAGTGTGGCTCCAAAACGTTCCGTACTTTTAACTTATTAATAGTGAGGTCCGGAATTTGAATTTAAACCAGGTGGGCTGATTATGCGTATGGACGTTGAGCAATGCTTATTTTCGCTTCTGCCAGTATCAGTTTGCTTGTAACGACCACTGGTCGTTGATGAAAGAGTGCTCCAGAAATGGGAATAAATTTTGCTCGGACACTTTACTTGCCATCTAAAAGGTTTTTCATATGCGTTGGTTTTCGTTTTCGCACACCTACTTGTAGCTAGTGTCCCTTGGGTAACGGGACAATTTCGTTCCGTTCCTTGAAAAATTCGTTTTTCAACTTTTTTGTCGGGGTCCTCCTCCCCTGTCTGTTTTGCTCCCCGATGGGGTCCACCCAAGCCAGAAAGTTACTCCCCGACGAACAATTCTTGTAGCATGTTTGCTGCGAAGTGGTTTGATAGAAATACATGTATTCTGAAATCATCAGAATTAAGCGTTGTAGAGTGCAAGTGTCCTTGTATATTTCTGACTGTGAATGTAAATTTCATGCAACTCGCGATGTCTGTTTTATGCAATGTCAATAAAATATCAATTCAACCGTTGTTAAAAATGGTGTAAATCAGTTTCAACTTTGCAAAATTGTCAATGCAAGATTATGTGCAAATTGAAATGATAATTTCTTGCTCATACATCGAAATGTTTCCGTTTGTGGCACTGTCTAGATAATTTTGTTCATTCTTAACGGAAAAGAGCTGCGATGTGTTAGTGCTCCATATCGTCGTTCTCTTCTATCTTCAAGCACCAATATTTAGGTGTCCATCGCGTGGTGGACTTATGACAGATACTGCGTCCATCATGAATATTTCCATCGCAGAGGTATTTCGCATATCTCAATCAGCTCATTCGGATTTTGCGTTGAAACGCTATACGGTAACGCATGCTGGCGAGTGACGCACCATGTTTCCTTGGCTGCTTTATGAGGGCCCATGTAAAGCATGAGCATCCGAGTTGACTAGTATGGGGTGTTGTTCAGTGGATAAGTATCTGAAGTTTGAGCGTAAGTGGAACCGTAATGCTACGTTCAATTCTGAACTTGAGCAGCTAGACTGAACTTTCGAACTGTCAAGCCTTCTCCATCAGTCGGTTTGATTTGGTATGGGAAAGAGGAGAAGAATCAAGAATGAAGAAATAATGAGTTTATTCGAAGACTTATTCAAAATTTGTGCAGAAGACCATGGTAGTCGATCGAAGGTCAGCCGGCAAAATCCAAAGAATTTCGAAATTCGCAATGCTGATCGAATTTCAACCGAACTGAAATTTCGTTCGGATACCATCACTAGTTTATTATATCAATAATACCAAGTCAAATAATTCTCAGCTAAATCAAATCAACTCAAACCAAACGTCGTAAAGGTTTAGGATTGCAATGACGGAATTATTCTCCTACTGTATCAAGCAGTGCATATCTGTTTTGGATTTCTGTACTCCAAAAAAAAAGAATTCTGTAGTCATATTTTAAAACGCTTCTCTTTTAAGCGTTGAATTTGAAACATACAAATAAAAGTACTCGTCAGTGATTTTTGCATTTATTCCAACGAAAGCTCTACAATTCAACAGACTTATTTGAACGCCCCAGGGAGGGCGTTCAAATAAGTCTGTTGAATTGTAGAGCTTTATGAACACTCGTCAGTTGATTAGTTACAAAAAAAGTGAACTGAAAGATGGCAAAAGATAATCTTCCAAGCATTTGCATCTAGCCTTCTGATCTGGTCAATATTTCGTGACAACATTCACTAATTGCACGCAAACTTGACTATCCTCTCTCGTTCACTTCAATTATCTATCGGTCTCTTTAAATTCCACATTTATTGAGTGCATATGTGCATAATTTGCTAACATTTTTCAGCCATCCCACTGCTCAATGACTTTTCTCAACAATTTTTCTTTTGTTTTGCGATTATCATTGAAACTTCCTGGTTGTCTTGAGTTTATCCTTCCTGTTTGTGTTGAAACGCTTTTATTGTTGTACCGGAATCCTGACTTTCAAATCTCTATTCTGTGATTCATGTTCCAACTCAGTTATCATTTTTCAGGAAATAGTGAGCAAAAATAGCATGATGTCATCAGTCTTGCTTCATCTTTCGGCATCACTGTTGCTTTATTGCCTGTTTGCAATCGTTTTTAAATGATGGGATTGAAAAACGATCTCATGATATAATGCCGATCCGAATGGTCAGCATTTTGTAAGGACTGGTTGCAATAGAAGTTCGTAATGTTGTGCTCCAAAATGAAAAACTCATTGAATGGTCGTATGGAAAAGTTTTTCCTCGGATGTGAGTTATCTCGTTGCTGACGTGAATACTCTTTAGAATGTTCAACTATTTGTTTCGCGTTTTTTTAACGACGGCTTCCCGCTGACCAAGTTTGTTTAAGTAGGCACCTTCATTCGTTCACTCAAGTTAAGCTCCCTGCCTTAGTTTCATCCTCCATTTATTTATTCATTTCTCAGGATCTAATCCCTGCTTTCTTACGTTGTTCATATTTTATGCTCACATTTGAAGTATTATCCCTTAGCAGCCGTATGAGATCATTGTAATTGCTGAGTAACCTCATCCTACCATTAGTTTCACTGGTGAATGTGACAAATTTTCTCAGTACTGAGCGTCATCAACGTCTTTAAGAACAGCGATTTGCACTTTCAGTTTATAATACGTAAGAAACAAGCGAGTGAATAATGCTCAGACTTAGCACATATCAGTGACCATTTTTCTATTTATTCATGTATTATTGTTCCCCTTCTCCTTCTTTATAGGCCAAAGATTCATCCTAATTCTCAATATAGGATTTGGTTGTTGCAAAAATTATTATGTTATCGTGCTACTTTGATTAAGTGCCATTTTACTCTATAAACTGTATCACATTCAGTGGTTGTTGTTAGGTCAGGCTTCAGTGCTTATGGCCGAGTTGAGCTTCCTGTAAATATCTGTTTGAAATCCAAATTGATGCAACTTCCATTAAAAAGATGTGACAATTGTGTAAACTAAAATTTATTTGAGAATTGCTGAGTTACGCTAAATAGGTTCAGTTTTCACTACTTTTGCTTAATCAAATTCCGTTTTTCTTTGCGCGCATCAAAATTATCTGCAAATCTCAGTGATCATGAACATGAATGCCTTTCATGCGTGTTGTTTGGCGTTTTTCTTCACAACACAAAATATACTGATGGTGTCGCATGATAGCGAACTTTTCGTGATAATCATTATTAATAATATTTTTGCTGATAGAATTGTAACACGTCGGTCAGTGTTTTGCATTCGTCTATCATCACGTCATTTATCCAAATCTTACGTACACTCGTTTACCATCACGTCATATATTCAAATCATATATTTATTTACACCTCAAATGCCTCCTTATCAATTCATATATCTAATACACATATATATATATATATATAGCTCAAATGCCTCTTATCTTTCCTCTAATNCTTAAATAAATTCCTCTCCAAAATATACGCCCTTTTAATTCATTCATTTATGATTCAATTATTATCGTTGTCGCTAATATAGCCCGGCCGTTACTGCTGTTGCTGTGAACTCAGTATATCCCGTCCAAAATATTGTTACGAATTAGAATATTATTCGTTCATCGATTATTGTTATTGTTTGTGTCAAATATATTCTCTGCTCTGCTGTTGTCACTGTTGGTCACACAGTAATCCCGTCGTCAGAAACAACACAATCCAATCCAACCTAATTCACTTCATTCGACAAATCCAAATCATCCAATTCCTCTTTTTCTTCGACAGATGGTATCGATTCGTTTACACTCAAATATTGTTTGACAAAACTCATCAAAGCCCGGATTTTATTTTGTGTTCACTGATTGTAAGTATAGCAAAGAATTTTGCGACTAGAATAAACTGGCTAGCCAATTGATCAGAATCGATTGCAATGGGAAAGAACCATTAATGACCATTCGTGTCTTACGCACTGCTCGACTTCTCGAATACACAAGACGTAATCCTTCAATCAAAATTAGCGAATTTTTTCAATTTATTCATGCTCGAATACGCTAAGCGTTATCATCAGTTTACATTCGTTTTCAGGAGTATACTAGCGAATGTATTTTACGATATTTTGTTTGCATATCTGTGTTAACGGACAAATTTTGATTGTTTTGAGATATTTTGTTTCTTTGAATTTCTCAAATTTCGTCTATTGTTTTCAGTGTCTTATTGTTTGAATGTCCCAAACTCGATATGTGCTTCATATCGGAAGAAAGTAAATAAGTTAAACTTTCATCCATAAGGACAAGTGCGAGTGCTGAGTGCGTTGTTGTGCGTGGATAGTAGGTCCTCTTGAGTGATTCGAACGGCACACTTTTCCGTTTCAGAGAACTCATATAACTCGAAGTTGATATTGTTATTGAGTGTCACCGAAATTATGATTAAACATCTTGAAATGAAACGAACATCATCGCTGTTCACTGNGGAATTGTTGAATGGGATGTGATAAGAGAGCTGCTTAGTGAATGATTCATGCGGTGGTGAGAAAATTATTTTCTTAATGTGGTTTGCTGAGTAAACGATGATTTTCTATAGGATATGACTGAATTGGGCTTGTTGATATGAATAAAACGCTGGCAGTTTCGATGCGTTAATGAGTTTCTGGATTTTGATTAATTCCCTATGAATGCTCGCGAGTATGAGGAGTTTCTCCATCAACACACATACTCACGCACAAACTCAGTTATTCAAGAACTATCCCGAAACGTTTCCTCAAACATCAGTTATGCATATTCATAAAATTGTCTAAAAATCAATTCTCCTCAGCAAATATGTTACCATATGATTCTTTTCCGCATTGTTTTCGTGATAAAATTGAGCTGAATTTGCAGTAATGAAGGTTATTTTACAGAATGTAATCAAACAAACATAATTAGAGCATACCAAATAGATATTCATCTATTATGTGACATGTAAATAACGCGAGAAGGACGGATGAATAGAAACGTATGCATCCAAGCTAGACAGCATTGAATTATCAGCAATTTCAATCCTCTTTTGTTTCAACATTTCGTCCCTTATATTTGTTTTCCAACAACACCCAAAAGTACCGCATATCACGTGCTTTTCTGAATATTCAGCTGATGGTTTTATAGGCTATTTCATTCTCTTTTCCAGTTTGAATACTTCTTTATTGTCTTTCTGACAAAACGTAGTTTCGTAGATGAATCAAAATTTTCAATTGTTTTCGTCGAACTCCTTATCGGAAATGGCAAATTTCAAGTTGCTTCGTTATAAATGCGGAGGCGATTGAGTTGAAACGAACGAATGTGTGAACTTATTCCAGTTTACACATTCATTAAATTCTAATAAATTTGGATGCGCACGGAACGATGTCATCACTTTTATGAATTAAACGCTTCGAATTAAACGCTTTTATGAATCATTTTAGCATTTTTAATGTGCACTGATTCACTGCTGGGGATATCCACCGTATTTTAAACGTACAACTGTGCTAATATTGAATTCCATCAGATTCTTGTACTTTTCTAAATTGCTTTATAGCCTCCTTTTTGAGGTGGCAATCTCGCAAAGGATGCCGCATTGATTCAGTTCATGGCTCAATGGAGAATTACAGAACAATTACTGATACGAATAATATATTGAATCTATAAATTATTTCTACTTTTTGATTGTGTCTCTCACTGAGAATGCACTCTTCGAAGCATTGTTGTCAATGTTGAGAGAACTGGAACGTTTTGCCGAACAAAGCGTTCATTGACGAAACGTGTAAAGTGCATCAAGCAAAACGATGGAGAATTCATCCGAAAGCTACGATATGAGTTGTGTGGATTCGTCGTTGGATATTGCATTAGAGTTCAAGATCGGTGAGTTGTTCGAAGTGAGTTGGATGGCAATAAATGCCGTTGCGTTAGGAAAGTGGCATTTTATTTGCTAATTTGGTGTTGTTGCATATTTTCTGATGTGGAAAAATAGTGTTATAATTTCTTCATTCCAGGTCTTTTAGTCGGCTATTCATTGGTAGCTGTTTGTTCGTTACTCGGTAATGTGTCTGTGCTAATCGTCGTTGCATTTCGGTCCGAAATGCAAACTGTCACAAATCTATTCATCGCGAGTGTGTCGGCAGCTGATATAGTGAATTAGTTTAAAAGCTTTATGTCATTGAATAGTAGAGTAACTTGAATTTTGTATGTTCATGACAATGGGTGATTGTTAATTGGTTTATTTTGGTTCATTCTGCAACGAAAACTGAACGAGATGACAAATATACGCAGAACGAAGTCGAGGTTCCATGAAAAAAACACTTCATTCACAGACTCAGTTTCTGCTGATATTTTCCTCAATGTTATCCGATTACTCCTCAATGCGGTGATATCTCAATTCACTTGTCAATATTTACTTCAATCTCAGTTGATCACCGCCGTCTCATTATGGTCAACTCCGTTATCGTATTATCGAACCGTTTGGGAATTCGGTCGCTTTATGTGTTATGCAGTTTATGCTGTTCAGATGAGTTGATTTCTTATTAATGCGCTCTTTCATTAGATTTCATTTTGCGTATGCCCCTCTCACCGACACGTCTTACGATTAGTTGCATTTCTCGTGGATGTTTGCTGCTTTTATTTTAATACCATTAAGAATCGTATGGAAATGAACACTGTCATATCTATTAAAACGAGTTACCTTGAGTTGTAACGACCGATGGATGCGCACTATTGTAGTGTTGTTGTTGATATTAGTAGATAGATGAAAGAAGAATATTATCAGTAGATATAGGTGGGGGATGGGGATAGTTGGGGAGTAGAA